TGTTATTCAAGCTGCCCTGGCCTCTAAATTTTCCAAACAGCTTCCACTCAAACTTTCTGAGCAAACTATGTGACAATATTTCTGCCTCAGTCCCATGTGCCAAAATGACCACTAAAACACATAAATGCTTTTTGACTGATAAGATTTTCATGTTGAATTCACTCCAACATTAAAGCTCACTGTTGGCGGTAGGACCCACTAGGAAGTAAAGAGTAGGGACCAGAAGAATAAAATCATGGTGGGAGAGTTGAACCCAAAATACAAAACAGATACAAGTTAGACATACCTTTTGAATGAGGACTGCTCATCTGTTCTTTCTTGGGACAGCCAATCAGAGAGGTGACTTTTCTTCTCTGTTGCCCGGGAGAGTTGAGCAAGTATTGCTTTGGTTAATTTCGGGATGTGCTATTGGAAACATAAAACAAGGTGCCTGGCCGGCACTATATATGTATATGATCAAAAAAAGAAGAAGGAGAAGGAGAAGAAAGAAGAAATACAGACGGCCTGACAATCCAAAGGGTATTTATGTACATTTTCTAAAATGGGATGGGAAATGTACAAGTGAGGTATTTTTCCTTTTCATTTCTTCTAGGATTCATGTCCTCTGGCTGTTTCATCAATGTTGAGTTCCAAATATTCCACTTCTATTCCATTCCTGCCCTTGGACATTGCTCTTCACCCAGGGGAGAGATGAGAAGAAGAAAACAATTTTTTTTTTTTTAAAAAAAGCCAGCAGCATTGCCTGAGGAGGAGTTGAAGAGGAGGCGATTGCTTTTGGATGGATACTGAGGTGCCTGGAGGTGGATGCATGGAAACCTGGCCCTTCCCGACCTGTCACTTCTCCAGAGCTGCTGTGGTTTCCAAGCTGGCAGGGGTTGTCAAGGAGTAAGGGGGAGGGGAAAGAAGGGAAGGGAGAGAGGGGAGAGGTGTGACTGTCGGATGGGGTGACAATCCACGAACACCAAATGGGACACCAAGTCAAAAATCTCACATCACAGAAGTCATCCTACCTAAATTTCCTTGGGACAATTCTCCTTCCAGTGCCTTTTTTCCCCCAGATGGGATAGTATTAAGTTGATTTATTTTTAAAAGAATCTATTTCTAATAATAACTAATTATATAAATAATAATTTTCAAAACCTTACTTCTGTCGGTTCTTTGTCTCCAACCTCTCTGTTAGTGCTCTTATCATTTTGCCAATAAATATGAAAAATGAAAAAATTGACTCCACTTGAGTTTTTTAATGGTTTAGGGGAAATGTACACCCCCATCTGTCTGTCCCCAAAAGATTACCCACATGATTTCTGGTTTCTAGAGGAAAAAAAACTTTAAATCAAATCAAAGTTCTCTCTGAGGGAAGAGGGAGTCATCTCTTGGATTTTTTGAATTTTTAAATAGTTTGTGCTTTTGGTGTATATCACCAAAACTTGTGGTGGGAAAGGGGAGGTGGAGGTAAAGGAAAGGGGATGTGAGAATATGGAGGACGTGAGGAAAAGGCAGGGAAGGTAGTGGGGTGGGGAAGGGGGAGGAAATCTAAAGTTCTATTTTTTTTTTAATGGGACCAGAACAACAACCAAAGTACAAAGGGCTACCGCCCACGGCCCACAGTTTGTTGACTGGATTTAGCAGCCGCCTTTTTTATCTGCCGTGGGAGAGCCCCTGCCGCTGTAGCGTCCTCCTCGGCTGGAGCGAGGCTCTTCCAAATCATCCTCATCAAAGCCGTGGAAAGTTGAGGTGTCACTTTCAGATGTGGAACCGAACAAGTCCTCCGTACTTCGTGCTGCGGCCGCCGCCTCCTTCTCCTTCCTGCCTTCTCCTCCCAAATGAGCTGACATGTATGATGAATATATCAGCACATGGGTTAAGCAACAGACAGCATTATTCATATTAATATAATATCATTACAAGGTTATTCTTACCACTGTTAGACAATGCACCATTTTGAGACTCAAAGGGATTGAATGTATGCAACTTTGTGGTGTGCTATTGTGCACCAGGACAATGGGAATGTTTTAGAGGCAGGGGATTTGTTTTGTTGCTTGCTTTTTAATGAGAAAAGATCCCTGTACCACAGTACAAGTATCCAAAGCTTCTGGCAGTGAAAGGGTCAGTGATGTGCTTTTCCCACTCTTATTCACACCCCAGCCAAGAGAATGTTTTCCCCTGACGGCTTATAAGCCTGCACAACTTAAAGGCTGTTTGGCTCTTTGCACAATGACTGTCCTTCAGTTTGGCAGCCAGTTTCACAAATTTATTACTGTCAGATAGCCCATTAGAGGCATTTACTCCTCTCCCAGTTTGTTTTTATTTTCATCCATTTCTCACTCCATCTCTTCCACCCCTGTCTGCTCTCTCACTGTCACATCATGTAATTCATTTCTACCTCCCTCCCCACCAAAAACAAAAACCTCACTGTAAAGTCTAATGAGTGATCAAAGAATGCACTCTCCTATTCACGATTGGAAAAAAAAAAAAAGACCAAGACCCTCTAACCAGGACACACACACATTTCAGCCACTTAAAATGCCCTTAGTCAAGAGTCTTGGTACTCTCAAGAGTTCAAAGCAGTACTGAGTCCAACTGAAGGTGGCACAACAGGTGAGAAAGCGTAGGGACTAAAAGTGAAGAAATTTAATCATTGTGTAAAGTAATAAAATCTACAAAATTGCAGCTGACACTTCTCCACACTCATATTGGGCCCTGGGAGTGCCTCTAGCCATTATAATCCCAGTCACTGAAGCTGCCAGTTTCGAGCATCTCAGTCCCTGAGGGATAGTGGAGGTAGAATGAAAGGTGGGAAAAGATAAATAGCTCTTCTTGGCTCCTATCTCTTCCCTGAAGAGACACCAGAAAGGCTACCGAGGAATATCATCCAACCTGCCTTCCCAAGCTTGACAAACGGAGACATAAGCCAATCCCAAAGCAAACAGCTATTTGACAGATATTTGAGATAAATATTGGTTGAATGATCCATACAAATAAAATCCTAGCTTAGTATCATAGAAGTATGGGGAGCATAAGATAATCACCTATGTTTTTTAAGATAAGGAAGCAAATTTGGGAAGGATAGCTGAGAAGTTTCAAGTGGAGAGTCACTTACTCACTCCTGCTTCCACCATGACTCAGTTTCCTAAGGGGAAAAGAACATGGAAAACTCCTGAAAACTACTCTTGTTTCCCCTCTCCCAGTTCTACCCGAGATGGAAGGCTTTGCTTGCTGTGGTAGAGAATCACTATATATTATATATTTCTGCAGATGGGGTGTGTGGGTTTTTAATAGGTTCACATACATACACTCACATAAAAATACATGTATATTATATGTAGAGAGAAATATATGTGTTATTGGTTTTTTTAATTGTTTGTCGATCAAAGTCCAGCAGTTACACAGGTTCTGTCTCCCCAAGCTACCACCTGTCAGAGTTAGAAGTCCAACACAATAACAATTGTAGACTGTGTCTGGAAAGCAACTGAACAAATTACTTCCAGTAGAAATTGGGTAGAGCTAGATACAAGCAAACCACTCTGTCATTGGGTCTGCTGATTTAATACTGAAATCATGGCGATTGGGAACTGGAATCCTTTGTCAACATCTCACTTGCTAGGTCTACTAGTTCTATGCCTGTATCAACCTTGACACCCCAAAACAAAAGGTGCAGGCTAATGACTATAGTAGACCAAACAAGGAAAGAAATAAGGAGTAATAGCAATCCGAGGATTGAGAAGCTGCCCCATGAGGGCTGGGAGAGGAAAGGAAGGTTGAGGGGACCATCCCTCACTGCTGTGCTCAGAGTTGGCTGAAACATCCTGAAGTGTTTTTTTAGCTTTTGGTCAGAAACACTACAGTCACTTAGGTGATACTGAAATCTCTTATCACCTTTCACCTTCACTGCTTGGACTTATTCTGCTTTGCTCCAGAGGGAGGACTTAGGACAAATGAGTGGAGGTTACGGGGTTACCTTTCAGCTCAATATAAGGAAGAATTTCCTAATAGAGCTATTTTTAAAATGGAATGGACTACCATGTAAGGTAATGAGTCCCCACTTACTGAGATGTTGTAAAGGGGATTAGTGCTTCAGTTGAGGTTGGACCTCAAAACCTTTAGGGTCCCTTCCAACTCTGAGATTCTGGGCATCTATTTATAACAATTTAATTATTTAAAATAGCCTGTCCTGATCAACTCTGGCAAATTACAGATAATGACTTTGGTAGTATCAAAAAGCAAAATAAAGCAAAATAACAACTTGAGATAAACCATAAAGACCTAAATTTATTTTGAGAAAGGACAAGACCAAATGGAGCCCTTCTTTAAGTCCTTGAAAATAGGAACCATGAAAAAAAAAAAGGTTACTAAGATCACTTAGCAGCATCTAAGCCCTGATAGCCCCTGCCTCTTAGCCTCCACTCTGCTGTGTTTCCTTTGGTCTGGTCTACATGAGAAAATGTATGGAATGTATGGCCAATGGAAGTGTTGTTCATGCAGCTACTAAGAAACCCAAAGGTCACTAATGTCCAAATTAATGGCAATTTGAAGACATGACTGGTCTTCCAGTATCATTCTTGGATACTTTTCCCCACTGACTCCCTTATCCCCCATACCCACTTCAACCATTTCAATTAATCCAACAACTCTGCATATCGAGATGCACCATCACCTGATAAAGGAACACAAGGAGGCTGTATCTCAGTGTGATCTGGTTCCAACTTGTTGTCTTCCACAACATCAACAACAACAACAACAACAACAACAACAACAACAACAACACACACATGCACAGCAAAGAAATCGGCATGTGGAGAGGTCAGAAATATATCAATAACTGCTTCCCACCCTTTAGATTTTTTAAAAAATTGTCAAAAGTTCTAAGAAGACCTGAAAAAATGGTAGAATCACCACCATTATTACTACCCTGTATCATTCCCCCTCTTGCACCCTATCCTAGATGGCTGAAAAGTGAAAAAAGAAAGTTCCCAGAGGGCAGGGTAGGGGGTCACACTTACCAGAGCGTCCACAGTCTGCACAGGACACTAGTTCCTCTGGCCGGCCACTTTTTTTGTTCATGCTTGAACCTCCCAAGCAGAAGTCACAGTAATTATTGGGAATGACAGTCCCATCTGGTCCTTTCTGGGCTGTGGAAGAGATACCAAATCCCAATTTTAAGTGGAAATGAAATACACTGTCTTCTCCTTCCCCCTACCCCACACCATAGAAAGTGGAGTATCTAGGGGTATGATAGGAAAATAGAGTGATTTGGGCTAGGCTTCCTTATCCTTTTATTTCCACAGTTTTAATTCCTTGCTGACTTCTTTTGTTGTTTTCTTTTTTGACATATCTACCTATATAATAGGGATTATTTTTATTTGAGAGGTAGTCTAGTACCATCTGGCTATACTCCTTAGGACTCTTCCACCAGGAAATTCTTCATCCTGCAAGATCACTTCAGCCCTGGAACTAAAACTTCATCAGTACTCTTGGCCCCTGGGGACCCCCCCACCCTCTGACTGGAGGGTGGAGAGTAGAGAACTCCTCCCAGCGTTAAGGAGGAAGTTAAGGAGGATGTCCAGTTCCTCCATCTCTTCATTTTCCACAAGGCTTCACTCTTCTGGACTTCTCAATCATACCCCACCCCCTCCAGCCATTTACCTTCTTCCCTTACCCCTTGCTTTTCAGTTTACTTCTATGTATTGTAAGCTCCTTAGGGACAGTATTTTTGATGTGGATTTAAGCCTAGATGATAAGAGGTTTTGATGTGTGGAGAGGTGAGAAATTGTTCTTAAGAAGACAAAATTTCTCCAATTTATTTAACATTGTATTTTTCACATTCCTCCAATAAAATACAAGCTTTTATACGTATAAGAAATATCTAGTTTTTGTCTTTATATCCCCAGTGCCCTGTATATAGTTGGCACTTAATAAATGTTTGTTGAATTAAATTGAAATAAAGAAAAAAATCATTATTAAAATCTATTTTCTAGTATATACATATCATGTGCATATATATATAACATATATATCTATAATTGAAACAAATATATAAAATTCTGGGTTATTCTCCAACAAAAAAAAGGGAAAATGTATATAAACTATTTTTAAAAAAAGAAATATAAACTATTAATGATCATATGAAAAATGTACCCTATTATTCATTTTTTTAAATTAATTAAAGCAATTCTAAGATTTCATCTCATATCCAAAATGACCAATATGATTAAAAAAAAAAAAAGAAACAGTCAATGTTGGTGAGGTTGTGAGAAGTCAAGTACACTAATACCCTTTAGTGAAACTATAAATTTGCCCAATCATTGTGGAAAATAATTTTAATTATATGTGAAAACTTACTAAACTATTCATACTGACCCTGACTATGTGACTGATACCACTACTGGGTATGTACTGTAAGGAAGTCAAAGGCAATGAGAAAGCTCTTCTGTGTACCAAAATATTCAAAGCAGCACTTTTGTGATAGCAAAATAAGTGCCTAATTATTGGGGAATGGATGAACAATTGTGGTATATTAATGTAAATGGACAGATATGATTGCTATACTGGCTGATCTTTCTTAAGAATTTTTCTTTTTTTTTTTTGCAAGGAAGAGTACGGAAGGAGGAGGAAGGAATATGATTGTGATGTAAAAAAGGTATCAATAACATTTTAAAAACAAATTAGGATTTAATGTGCATATTGCTTCATATTAAATTAGGGTCAAGATCCAGGTTCTACGTTAAGAAAGCTTGTTACTAATATCTAAACTTGGGCATTTGGGGATAATTTTCCTAAATTCTTCTCTGTTCTCTTCATAGTTGAGCCACCTCTTTTCCATGTAACACCTTCCCCTCTTCAGATCTTTGGTTTAGAATTCACTAATGCTTTTATCCTGTGAAGTTGTATGTGATAGCAAAATGAAAACTCTGTAAGAGCAGCATCTAAGTTTTATCAATTAATCAATAATCCCTTATTATTTTAAACAAATTTTGTATCTCCCACTTTCATCCCCATCCCTACCATACTCTCACACCTGGCAAAGTGTTTTGCACTCAGAAGGTGTTTAATGAATGAATTGATGAATTAGTAATAATAACAATCAGCACTTATATAATGCTTTAAGGTTTGCAAAGTGCTTTATATATGTTAGCTAATTTTTTGTTAATTAATGGCAGCCCTTTTAATGGGTCTCAGAGTATGACTGGTTATTCTCTGCCTTATTACAGCTAAAATGTTCCTATCCATCCTGACTGTACAGATTAAAGCTTCTAATTAGAAACTCGGTTATTTTGTTTGATGTTTTGTTTTTTGTTTGTTTTTGCAATTTGAGGACTCTTACATAACAGCTGCAGTTGTCCTGCTGGAAGATATTTGAAATAGCCCTGCTCAATGGGACCAGGAAAAATTTCCCCTCACCTGATCATAAAGGCAGTTATGTCCTGTGCCTGTTTCCCTTCCTGAATTATCCAACAACAAGAAGTGATAATGGTGATATGGGTGACTTTCATGACATAATAATATGAATGAATATAATGACTGTTTTTATATGGTTTATGGGAATATAATGAGGAAATATGATATAGTGGATAGTGTGCTGGACCTAAAGTTATGAAGCCCTGAGGTTCACATCCCACCTCTGATACTAGCTGTGTGGTCATGAACTTAACCTTCCTGATCCCTAGGCAAGACTCTAAAACTATAAATTACAGATGGACTACGATCAGATGGAGAGGTTCCCAACACTGATGAAATATGGATGTATTAGGAAAATGGATAGAAAAATCATCAATACTGGAAAAGCAGGCAGAAAAAAAAAGATTAAGATGTGGGGGTCTTCATTAAATACCATCCCCAAGAAATATACATATTTGGTTCCAAAATTCTTTTTCCAAGGTTATAATAATAATCATCACATATACATATATACTCAATATTCTATGCTAATATGTTGTTTTTTATATAAATTTATCATATTATTAACACTTAGGAAAGAAATACTTTTGGAATAGGCACCATTTTACTGAGCAAAAGTAAAGGCTGCCAAATAGTACATGACTGAATTTGTCAAATCTAAGCAAAAGTAGTTTACTTCTAAAGTGAACCTAAGGAATAGTTAAGATCCAAGAGTAGAATTAAAATGCCCTCCATGGGGGACATTCACATGAATTTAATATGGCACTATGTCAACATAGAATCATGAAACAAATTGTGGAGTTATGAGGATTTTTTTATAGAAATGGAAGAGTTTACAATGGGAATTCAGGATTAGGTGATCACCACCAGAAATTATAGAAGAGTTATTCTTAAGAAGCACAGATTTACTGCTCAATGTAGCTTATTCAAGAAAAAAGAACTGGGCGACATATCATTGAAGATTGTACAAATTTAGCGTCTACCAGATATCTAGCAAGATATGATCTAGTAGCCAGAATTGTACATCAAAAGCTTACGATCTTTCATAAACCAATAGATGACTAATCCCCATACTACAAATAGAGACTCCAAAATTATCCTTGAGAATTCAACAAATAAATTGTACTGGTACCAGAGGATTATCATAGGCAAAATACTGATCTGTCAAATTTTTAATTAAAATGTTCCATATATGTCAACATACTAAATATACATAAATTCCAAGCTATGTGGAATGAAAAACTTTCAAAACTTAGAGATCAACTGAGAGAAATCAAATCTATATAGAAGTAGGATGAAGTATAACTCATTTCTGTCATTCTGTCTGCTATTAGATTTGTCTTAAAGATTCTTTCAGTGAATATATGGAAGATAAGGTTACAATCCAATAGTTTTATTCAATTATGAAAAGCAGTTATCTTATCCACCCATGTAAAAGTCCAAAGAAAATAAAATATAAACTAAACATAAAGTTGAAATACAATTAAATTTAAAATTAAAAATAAAAAAGTATAAAAAATAGAATAGGCTTGTCATACTCCTTTTCCAACTTCAAACCAATCAGTTGTTCCATGTTTGATTCTAACTCTTGCTTCTTAGTCCGCATACAGGTTCCTCAGGAAACAAGTAAGATGATCTGGCACTCCCATCTCTTTGAGGACTTGCCACATTTTGCTGTGATCCACACAGTTAAAAGCATTAGTGTAGTCAATGAAGCAGAAGCAGATATTTGTTTGGAATTTCCTTTCTTTTTCCATTATCCAGCAAATGTTGGCAATTTGTTCTCTAGTTCCTCTGCTTCTTCAAAAACCAGCCTACTTTTCTGGTAATTCTTGATTCACATATTGCTGAAGCCTAGCTTGCCGAATCTTAAGTATAACTTTGCTGGTACGTGAAATGAACAAAATAGTTTGGGTAACTTGAACATTCTTCAGCATTGCTCTTCCTGGCTCTATATCAGTAGTGCTTTCTTTGCTCAGTTATTTGTAAAGCCTCATCAGTCAGCCAATATATAGTACCAAAGCTAGAGTTTTGTTCTATTGTTGATGTTGTTGTTGAGAATATATATGTGTGAGTGGATAGATACATAGATATTTAGATATTCATAGAAATGTAATAAAGGCAGAAACATAAGATGCAAATAAAGAATAATGACCTCTGATCCTTATTTTTTTTTTGTTCTAGCTCAAATTCTTTTGTATATTAAGCCTAAAGTGATGTTAGAAATTTCTAATCCCTGGTCATAGTTGTCTAAAACAAATAACTGTGTCTTAGTCCCAGTCATAGAACTTCAAAAGAAAATACTCAATTCTAGTCTAGAGGTACACAGCTTAGTTTTTCTTAGCTCAATGTGGTGACTCATAATCTCTAGATATGTCTAAAAAGCTATCAATCAGACTCTATCAGGAAGAGGCTTTACAATCACCACATTTTGTAAAAAAAAAAAAAAGGAAAAAAAAGAACTGAGATGACCTATAAGTGATACTGAAGCAATAGATTACAGAAGTTGAAAATAGAGAATAATGCCTAGCTGTGACCATAAGACAATTTAAATAACACAGTCAGTAATAGAATTTGAATCCAGGTCTCCTTTACTCCAAATCTGAACCAAAAAGAGCATATTTTTATTAACAGCTTAATGTGCAGACTGGACATACTTTTTCTAGGGCACCTTATTAGTGCAATGGATCTAGCACAGGACCTATAATCACAAAGACTTGAATTCAAATCTGGC